ACTTTGGGAATGCTCAATACCGTGCCATTTCCTTCTCGTACAGGCTATCTCGCATCTCCTTTACTGACTCCTCAGCCATTCTGTTTTCCTCCTCTAGAATTGCCAATGCTGCCTGTGACTCTTCAGGTGTTTCCTCCTTTCAGAAAAAAAATGAGCACTCAGAACATGGGATATTGTATGCAATAGCTCTCCAAAAAATTAAATATACCTGACCAGGCCGTTCTTGATTGACACAGTCTGGATGGTACTTTTCTCCAACCTTTCGAATAACTCTTTCTGAGCCATAATGAGAACCTACTAGAAGGTACATATCATCTCTTGCGATCCAACCATCAAAGAATCCTTGAACTGGCTTTTCCTTAATCCTATTGCTAAAGGCTTTTCTTTTTTTCAATATTCTCCTTTGATATATGAGGTTTGGTACGGGGGATATCCCTATTATATCCTGCATCCTTTGGGATTTTGGCTAATGTTGTACGCGGATTGGAAAAGTCATCTCTCTTGCCAGTTCTGGAAAAGACTTCCTCTGCTGCATGGCATTTCTAGTAGCAGTTGCGATTATTGCTTCCCTTTCACTTTTGTTGAATTTCATAGGACATCCTAATTAACTAAATGGATACAAGTTCTCTTTAGCTAACTTATCTTTTGTAAGTTCGTCTTTGGCTGCACAGTAGCGTGTGTGGGCGATGATATCATGAACTGTAGAGAATGGAATTTAAAGCTCATTTGCAATCTTTTTCTCTGATAATGGACGACGATTCATACCGGTATTCAGGTGTTGAAGAGCTATAATAGCACCTTGTTACGCACTGTTGACTTCTTGTTTCTGAACTCGTTTTGCTGACTCCATCATAGTTTAGGTTGTTGACATACTGGCAACCAGCATCTCCTGAAATGGATGCCGCTCTTTTGCAATACTGTAGCACCTGTACCATTTGGGACACGCATAAAATGCTGACTGGGGATTTTAGGTAGATTTAGTTGGGACAGGTTGAACTGACACAAATTACAATGGGACAATCTAGATATTCACAATTGCATTTAAGTTCATAATATAGTAAGTAGTACAGTACTAGATTAACTTTGACAAATAATAGCCCTAATTCCTAAGCTCAAGCTTGTTGCATTACCACAGTAGGAGCAGTATGCAGACAACTATCCAGGGCCTTAGACCAAGGAAGAAAAGCTCTGCATCGTTTAGAAATTTTCTTTTATAATATGGGCAGCACTTTCGCTTTTACTACACAGTACCATAGATCGATCCTATAGTGGACAACATTCTTGAATCAAATCAGCTCCGAAGGGCTGACCAGAAAGGTAAGACATTTGGATGAATTCTGAGTACAGTGAATAAATCAAGTTAACGGTACATTATTTATAAGCAGCTGTCCAGCCTAGTGTGTCAGTATTCTTCAAGCCAATTACTAGCGTTGACTATACAGAACAGTTAAAGCAAGACTCGATAAAGTATGGCTTACAGTGTACCTTAGACAAAATGGAAGCGAAAAAAAAGCAAGCGGGATATCCAAAAACCAAGGAGGAAAGAAAGAAGAGATTACAGCAGTGGAACAAACTAGAGCAGCAGTAATCAAGACGGGTCTGGAAGGAAGCTGAGATACTTCCTGGACTCAGAGATCCAGAAACAGGAAAGTGTTATCCTGTGCTCAAAGCCGCCACCAAAGTACTACCAGCCAAATCCTCTCTGCTAAGTTCTTCACTTGAGCAGTTACATGAAGGATTGGCTGAAGCAACCAATATTCCTTGTAAACCATAGAAGTTTCTACTACGTAAACGGTAGCAGATTAATTGGTATCATCCTTTGCTTTGGTCCAAAATTGATACTGCAGCTGAAAAGTGCCAACGGCAAGCCAGAGCAATTATTAAGAGTCTGCGGAGTACATTCATGGTATCTGGAGAGTTTGATACGCTGGCTCCAAATACAGTTCAAAACTGGATAATCCAAGATGGTCTTGGATGGAAGGAGAAGGTAAAACAAAGAGTTGACTCTAAGCATCCAATGATTGGTGGGAATAAGGGTGGATGAGCCTCTTTGGAGGAACAGCATCCGCTAACTTTCACTAAGGTGAGTGAGATTTTAGAAGGGTTAAGAGAGGCAGGACTTTCTGTAAATGTACCGGTTACTTGCAATGTGATTATTGGGATAATCTGTCAAATGAATCCGGAAATGTTAGAAACTATACAGAATTGGCAGACTGGAGCAACATTTAAGATCTCATTGAGTATTGTGCAGAGATATCTGAGTGGGACACTTAAATGGAACTATCATGCAAGTACGAAAGCAAGCCAAAAACTTCTGCTTACCTTGGAGCAAAAATGCTTTGAAGCCTTTCTCGATTAGTCTTTACAGTTTATACAGAGAACATTCATCAGAGTCTGATAGTCAATTGCAATCAAACTGGAGTTATCCTTATGCTGACTGGGTCAGATCACACCTATAATCCATGTGGATCTAAGCAAGTTGAGCTTTACAGTAAGGAAAAAAAGTACGCCTTTACTTCCTTAATTACAACCTCAAATGATGGCGGAATGTTACCTACCCAGTCAGTCTGGGCTGGAAAGACTGTACGATCTCAGTCTGCTCTACAGTTTCGAGCTCAAACAGAGAATGACGGTCACTTGTTCTCCTTCAGTCCTAAAAACCATTGGAGTTCCTTAGCTATGATAATGTTCTACTTCGAAGAACTCATTAAGCCATATCACGATCGGATGATAACCAAGCATGGGCTTCAAGCAAATGCAAAAATGATTGTATATTTCGATTGTTTAAAGGTTCACAAGAGTACTGCACTACTTGACTGGCTCAAAGCTACCTATGAGTAGCTGATTATTCTATTCGTTCCAGCTGGATGCACTGGAATTCTGCAGCCATGCGATGTTGACTTACAGCAAGTATACAAGCATCACATAAACCTGGCCACAGCAGAATACTTTCAAGATACTGTGCAAGCTCAGTTAAACAATAGTAGAGCTACCGCAAGTGTTAGAATAATGGACAACATTGGTGAATTGTGTAACCAAACTGCTACTTGGGTTCTTGCCACTATAAGATATCTTCAAGACCCTGCCCGGACAGGTCTCATTCAGAATTCATGGAAGAATTGCTGCATAAAGCAATATGATTTATCCTGGGAGTGCATAACTGGCAAAGAGTCAATCCAGGCTTTACTGGTAGAGAGTAAGGAAGTGCACAAGCGGGTTATGGGCATTACTGAGGTAGTTATGTGTGAAGAGAATGACCTGTGGGCTGATCATAATATGGATGATAATGGCGAAGATGTCTCGTTAGAGGTAGTGGCACTTGCAACCAATATGCTATCTATGCAGGAGAACAGAGATCATTTAGATGATGAGGGGCATATTAGTAGTGGATATATGGGTAGTGGTCTTCCTACTGGATTTACGAGATCAACATACCTTCCTGCAATAGAAGAATTCAATGGGCAGAACAGTCTGATACGGAGGATGAGAGTGAGGATGATGAAGAGGTAGTGCAAGGGCATCCAGACGGGAGTGCCACTACTACTGGGGAAAGGACTACTGGAGCACAAGTCCATATTCATTTTATGGGAAGCCTTCCAGGCCAAGTGTTTATGTTTCATGTTAATAAACCATTTTCCTTTGGTTTCTAATTACTGTTGATTGTAATGAGAATCGTGAGAGCTCTACTTAGGTTAAATTATCAGTGAATAGATGGGAACTGGGAACGAGATTCTGTATACAGTATAATACTGGTATAATACAATTCTGGTTACATAATCTTAATTAGCTGACAGGTCTCAAAAGTTGGGACAGAGCCTGATGACACTGACAAAAACACTCATTTTTAGAGACGGAACAAAGAATACTGACAGCTGACAGTCCCAAATGGTATGGGTGCTAAAGTATCCTAGTTTGGGCTTGGCATGTCTCACCCGGATACTTTTTCTCAGCCCGAGTAGACATATCCAATGATTGATCCACCTTGCTTACATAACGCACACAAAATAGTTGGGCTTGGCCAAAATGATCCAAATACCGTAATGACAAGGGAGGTTCATGGTTAGCGGAAGGCAATTCTTTCTAGCTCTACGCTTTCTGATCTCAATCAGGGCAATATCCGTGAAGAGTGCCAGACTTTGAAGTACTTCTATAAAGCCATATCTTTTCACAGATGTGATTGTGGTCAGATGTTTTCAGAAATCATTGTGGGATTTTTGGTTGATTGCAAGTTCCTGCACTATACCTGTAGTCTAGCTTAGTAAAAACATTTCCCCAGGCGTAAACCACCATATTCGGGAAGTATCCCCTGGCAGTTAAAAAGCCCAAAGAAAACCTTGAAAGGAAAATTAAACACGACAGAGCAAAGCACTATCATTTCTAGATCTATCAGATGATTCTGCTTAGTTATTCAGAAAGCGGGGAGGATCTTGATTTGTTTTAAAGAGCAAGTAACCTATAGGAATCTGCACAGTTAGTCCGGAAACTGTGATTCCTCGGTCTGTATGCATCTTGGAACTGTCTGTGTATCAACGGGAGGTGGCGCTTACTCGAGCACCGCGGGGTTGTCGTGTTATTGCTGGACTTAGAATGAAGCTAGCATTGCTGAACAGTTTCTTGTAGCGAGGGAGGTAGATGAGAAGTATGTGGCCAGGAAGTAGGAGGGCGTGTTTCGTGATGTCCTGCTGGTGTGGGATCGGCCTTGCCTTTGAGTAGAGGAAGCAGGTGTTGTGTTGGCTCTTTCCTTTTCTTGACGGCCTTGATCTGTGGATGGATTAATGGTGCGGGAAAGACTGCAGCAGATGTACAAGTATAGATACCGGTAGCATAAGACACTCTCTGATGGATTCCACTGAAGCCACCACTACTCGAGTACCAGTAGGGCGATCTGCCCACCGCGTGTCGGCAGGCAGGCATCACTACACCTAGGGCACTTGTAGCAGCCTCTTGTGAACGGCCATACTATGATACTCGAACAGCTTACTGCAAAGCCGCATCTGTCGTTCGATGTACTACATACAAGTTTTCTTATTGTTTTGCAAAAATCCATCGTAGCGAAACCCCCCAACTATGATACATTTCACAAACAATATTTCAAGCAATGCATCCACAATATCAGCTCCTCCCTCACACCAAATTTCCGTTCATAGTTCATCACTCGACAAAGTCCATCCCCTCCCCCACCCTTAACATTGGCACAAGCAAAAACACAACCAACAAACAAAGCGCAAGGGAAAAGAAAAAAAAGAAAAAAAGAGAGGGAATACAAGCATTTGTCCTGAATCATAATTATCATTTCATGGATACACTGTCAATATATCACGACCATCCACCCTCAGAAAACAGTGCCGAAACAGATCACAAAGGGTAAAGTCTTGACCGGTCGCACATGAGCTACCCAAGTCCTGCCGCCAACATCGTGATAGCTAAGGCTCGGGATCAAGGTAGCTCATATACCGCCCATTTATTTGATTGCAGGATGCGAGAGCCCAAAGAAAAGGTTAGCCAATTGCTATCTTGGAAACCCCAATCTGTCGTCCCGTCCTGCAATTGTAGATCCCTCCGGCACAGCCCAGAGCACGAACGGGCCGTTGTTCCCCCTAAAATTATCCGGGCTGTTGAGTGTCCCCGGAGGCCTCCAATGCCCGAGGATCATGTTATTTCCCGGCAACATTACACCCTCATATGTCCATTGGTGGCTGTGGTAATATTTCCGGAATTCGATATGTTTCCAGACGCCGTTATATCTAAGCGTCGGATCTGGCTTCGTTGAAGATATCTTGCCATGGGTTATTGTAAAGGTTTGGGTGTCGGAGCCTGAACCTTGGAATTCATTGTGGCTGGTCATGGAGAGGGTTACATCTACTAGCGGACCGTCGGAAAGGTCCCGTAGTTGGGGACGGATTGTTCGTTGCGCATACGCTAGAGTTTTGATCAGCGCTAAGTATTATACCTTGAAAGGGGGATACAGACCATAGGCTCCATACCACTTCGACGGTATTTTATGGCGGGGTCCCACATAATCACTGAGCTTGCCTTCCCACCAAGAGGGATACTCATTCGGTTGCATCAAACGCTTTTGATAAAGCATATCCGACCCAGAATCCTTGTGTATGTGGTAGATAAAGTACTTGGCAAGCGCCCAGATGACCTGGAATTGAGGATATCCATCGAAACTCACTGCGGGCGTGCTGTACACCATTGTGTGCAGGTCGTGAAGATCTTTCTCTTCTGGAAGCTGAAGCAATGGCGTCATCAAAACACCGACAGCGGCAGCCAATGCACAGTTGTTGCCCCGCCCCTCAAGTAACCCTAGTGTGTGGTCCGGGCGCTTTAAAGCATTTAGAATGTTGAAATTCTTCCCGGTAATCTCCTTGGTCTCGGACTTGTATCCGCGGGCATCTACCCAATCCAGAAGGAATATTAGCAATTATGCCAATATAGAGGTACCAAAAATCTGAACTTATGAATAAATCAGCGGGTGGAGATGTGGCGGTTAACATTCGATTGGAGGAGAGAAAATAAAGGAAGAGATATTAATATGGTAGAGTCGCAATTCGGAATAGATGAATAAAAAATGAGAGCCGATTGTGCCTACCGTGCAATACATCCCAGATAACATCCAAGACCTCCGCATCCGATAAATTTCCAGTCCCGAATTCCGTGCGCAGTACGCCCCGTGGAATTATTTGTTGCCTCAATTGGTAAACACGTCTCCAGTCGTAAGGCTTGCCCGGGACCTTAGAAGAGGGTTCATCGTAGATGCTTAGAAGCTTTGCCCGCCAAACTACCTGGTCATCCTGAACGACGCTGCGGAAGATTCTGCAGACAAGACAGAAGTTGCAGAGGTCTATGTCCGAGAGCTCGCTTGCGATGAGCTTTAGTACCTAGTCAAGGTTTAGAGAGATACGGTGGGAACGTTTGTCGCGGAGAGATAGGAGTAGAGGTGGCTGTGGAGCTTACCTCTGGAGGAAAGGACACCAAAGTCATGATTAGGGGAGAGAAAGTCACTTATCAAAGCGGAATCACCAGATACAGTGGTTTTTGCGTCCAGAAGGATGAGTATTGGAGGAATCGAGTGGATGAAGAGTGACGGGCTTGGATGAATTGATGAATTGGTGAGGGGCAGAGGATAGGCCCAGTGCGCAAGCGAAGATAAGTTTGGGTGGTAACCGATGCCGAATAGCATGCGTGGTACTGCACAGTACGATACTTGTATCATATCAGAACTCGATTACTTCAATGCGCACCGGACGAGTAAGGTCAGCCCTTGTACTCGTACTCGTACATGTAGCTATCATAGAGGCAACCACGGTACCGGTAATGCAGATAAGGAGTGGCTATCAAATTTGTCTATCGGGGATGGAAAATTAAATCTACAGTATCATACCGGTACGATACCCAAAGTAGGAGGAGAATGAGCGAGAAAACTTTCAAGGGTCTACGGTTGGGCGCTTCTTATTATACCTGCAGTGTGAAAGCCCAAATCCACAGCTGCTATTGTCCAGGGACAAAATTAACTAGCTGTTAACGGCCGGAAAATCTTCGGTGATGACAACCACACTCCCCCACCAACCCACTATCATGAAAACCCAAAAGAAAATTAAAAAATATAAATACATAGTAGAAATTAATATTTAGTATACCATCCATCAGCCTTAATAATTGCTTCCACCCTATCCACCATTGATCCTGCTAAAGTATCAAAAACCTTTGGGTCCAGAAGTTCCCAACAATGAGTGATAGCCTCCTCTATAATTTTTTTGATCTCATTGACAGGGCCCTTCAGGAGAAACAGCTCAGGATAGTGCTTATGAAGCTTGTCTTTCACCAGAGACCAAACATTTTCAATTGGATTGAGGTCTGGTGAATAGGGAGGAATTTCCATCAGAGAAATTCCATTTCTCCTGAGCCATCTCCTGAAAGGCAAGTGAGTCTTAGCATTGTCAATGATCAAAAATACCTCTTCCTCTCCAACATGCTCCTTGATATCCTCCTATATCCCTGGAAAGTCATATTGATCATAAACATCAATAATTGACTTTCCAGTCACTCCACCTCCAGCAGAAGTAGGATCAGGAAAAACAGGTAAAAAAAGACCATGAGTTTGACCATAGAAACAACCAGTCATCATCTGACTAATCTTTCTCTCTCCTTTCCTAGCAGTAGGTTCAACACAATCCTTATTCCACTTTTCTTTTGGCTATCTAAATACCCATTTTCTTCTCTTTCCTCCTCCCCTCTCCACAGCTACCTCATCCCCCCATATTGCTTTCCTTCTCCACATCTGCCTTGTCCAATTCCTCTGGGCTAATGCCCATTTCAATCTCTTTTGAGCTAGATCCTTATCCAAATGAACCCTCTCTTGTGCCATCCACTTTTTAAGAAGCTTTTGTAGAAGTCTTCTCTTCACAGTCTTAGCAGGAACATTGGGAGCCACTCTCTCAGCAATCTCAGAGTAGCTGGTATGGCGATTTTTGAGAGCTTCCTCTACCATAGCATCATCTTGCAACTTGGTAGTTTTAAGATGTCTTCCTCTACCTTCATTCTCCTTGCCCTCTTGATCTCTCTTTGCAAATGTGCTTTTAACAGTACTGAGAGGAATGTCAAGGTAGTGGGAAATTTGGTGATTTGTCATCTGAGGCTCACATAACCCGAGAATTCGTCCCCTTGTAAACTCAGAAAGGTACTTGGAGAGAATAGGCTATTTGGTATGACTGCGAAGAATAGGAGGCATAGTTTATTGAAAAAAAAAATTAAGTAAATTGGTTTGGTTTTTGTTGGTGTAGAGCAATTTCTTTAGGAAGTATTGAGGGAGTGGAGTGATGAGGAGGGGAGCGTTGCCATTGCCATTGAGAGCTAGTTAATTTTGTTCCCGGACAATAGGTTCAGATTATTGTTACCCATGCCGCCAGAAGGGCATCTAGGGTGGGTTAAATACAGACTGAGAGTAACCATGAAGGGTAGCATTGAATACGGTATTGTACTCATATCATATCATAATTGACGAAATTGGGATTGATATGGTACTGTACGAGTACTTGTAATGTCATCGTGTATTCGGAATTGAGCACTAATAGGAATGCCAGTCCCAGGTGAGAATTCTAAAAAGGTACAAATAGTAGCCATTCACTTTCCTACTTCTAGCTATGAGCTCCACCTCCACTAGAGAGCAACTCAGAATGCTTGCCAAGCTAGCTGCAGAGAAAGGAAAATGAGAACTTTGAACTAACAAGTTGACTATATTCCAAAATGGCTGAAATAATTTTAGAAGGAAACAGAAGTAAAAAAAAAAAAGACACTTAGTACTGGTTCATCCGGATTTTACCCAGCTCTTACTGAGGATTGTTTTCTGCCCCCTCACATCCTATTCTAATCCTTCCTCCCTTAAAAACCTTCCTACTATCTTTCCTCTACCCATATCTTTCCCCAGCTAGTTGTCATTCTATTTCTCCTAGTTTCCAGTTTCATATGAGTATCACAGTACTGCTTAAAATAGTTAGAAAATATACCTGAATCCAGTCATTGCCAATTACTCGTGAAATTCATTTCCACCCCTAGCTTCAATGATAGTAGCGATCTGGCATTGCATGGAAGCAATCAGTCCATTAATATAGTCTACCAGGAGGCCTCTCCACTCTTGTACCATAATCTCTCATATTGCTGGATCCCGATAGTTCCAACCTATTCTTCTCTTGACAATATCCTTAATGTAACACCAAACCTCTTCTATTAGGTTCAAATCAGGAGAGTAAGGTGGAAGGGTAATATTCTCAAAGCCACAGGCTAATGCTTCAGCAACATTATAGTTCTTTGTATGAGATGGAGTACTATCTTCAATAAAGTAAGGAAGTTCCTAGCATATAGTCATTTGTTGATGGAGGAATAGAAAGACTTTTGAGGGAAGAACTTACTCTCTGTAAATATACCAATCTACTCCTTCTTTTCTTTTTGTACTGCGAGTTCTATGAACTGGAATAGTATGAGGTGCACCAAGTCCAGTAAAGTAGTGGTAGTCATTGGTATCGCTCTGAAACTCTTGTTGTAAGCAGATGATTGATTTATGCGATTGGGCTTGAGTCTCAATTGGAGATGGGAAAAGTAGTAAGGCAGCTGGGAGCCATCATATCCGGACGTGATTCTACCCTAAAACATGACTGCAGATCCTTTAGGAAATCTTCTATCCAGATTCTGAGGCAAGTATTCTTCCCCAGCCCGCTTTAAAACTCCCTTTGCTCCAGAGGAGCGCAGTGTACTTGCTTCAAAATGTGACTCATCAGTGAATAGAATATTAGTAAAATTGAAGTTCTGATACTTCAAGGCCCACTCCATTCTTGCAACCTTGGCCTTAGTGGTCAGAAAAGGTTTCTTAGTAGGCTGACAATGGTGGATTCCATGAGTAGCGAGGATATTTGATAAAGTGTTTCTGCAAATATAGAATCCTGATTCTGTAATAAGCTCTTCGAGAGACTTTCTGTAGTGTGTAGCATCTTGCAGTATGAGGTTGATAACTTGCTGTTTTTTCTTGACAGTTAGGGCTTCATCGTGACCTTTCAGGGAGGTGGGAGCTGGGCGCAGATTTTCTTCTGAGCAAGGATCAAGAATGCAAGTCTAGGGTATACGTAGTGTTGAGAGCCAAATAATATTCGAGACACTGCAGGGATCACCATTGTCACTATTCCTATTCAGTACATATGTGGTGGACATCTTCAAACTGAGATTATACTATACATCTGATTTGAGGTACATGGTGTCGAGCTATGTGGATGATAGAATGATTATGTTAGGCGGAGACAACCCGATAGACTTCAGAGTTGTCTAGGCCGATCGAGATTCGTTTAGGTCATGGTTCAAGGTACGAGTCCACGGGCAAGTGCTGA